TAAACTGAGAATCTGCTGACTCATGAATTTTTCCCTCTATATAAACTGTTGTACTTGAGAATAAAGTTGAGTCAATTTGGGAAGACAACCTGAAGCAGTCTCTGTTTTCTTGTTCTCCCAAGCTGCTCCCGAGCTCGTACTAACACGCTGAATGGCATGCTTGAATGTTACTTGAGAATATATTTGACTGTGTTTTGACTGACGCCTCGGAGGAAGCCGATCCACGGATTAGGCCCTGGAAGCCGTTTCCTTCAATGATTATTTACCAATAGCAGTAAAATAATTTCCCTGCTCCACACTGCGCACACACCTTCAGCCTGATCTTCGGCGTTTAGCGTCGCCCGGTAAAATGACATGCTCTTTACTCTTTTTTTAAATTCTAAAACAAAACAAAAACAACAAGCACATGAATGCATCTTTAAAGACGTAGTGAACTGCGTTCATTTCCTGGTTTGTTAGCGGCTACTGAAAAGCAAGTCTGGCACATATATCTTTGACCAACAGTAGTCAATCTGAAACACCGGAATAAAAACAAAGTAAGTCTGATTTTAATGGTTCCCTTTGCAGTTCAGACATGCCCAGGAAAAGTATTTGTCAGAGAGGGCTAGATTAGGTCTCAGTCACCTTAAGGCAGCATCTCTGATGTGTTACCTAGCCGTTTTACTTTCGCTTTACTTAGCGATTACACTCACTTCACTTGCCATTGTTGGCATTCAGTGCACACCTGTGAAAAATAACCTCCATGTGAAATTTTCATGGCTTATTTTCAGATTCTCCCTCAGCATGACACAATTAAATCGTCATTTATGGCTTTCTTCACACAATGAATGGACATATACCTCTTCAAAAAGGCTATCAATCAGACTACATTAACTGCTGTTTTATTCTAAGAAAAAAACAAATAAACTCCACATTTAACCTTTTGTGCAGATCTGAAATGCGAATTCTATTTTATTGTTATTTTATGGTAAAAATTTGTAATGTAAGCCTCATCGGTGTTAGCTTTTTTTTCTCTTTTTTTTTTTTCTGAAAGCCTGGCATTAAAGCCCCAAACGGCTGCAGCTATAGTTCTGCAAAATTATGAAGTGAAACGAGTTTGGCTGGAAATCTCATCATTTACGTGAAGTGCATGCGTGCATGAAGGATTTGTCCTCTCATAAGATTGCACAAACCCAGAGGTGTACTCGCACCTGTCTGCTTGTTTAACCCTCAGCTCTTGTTCCTGGCAAAAATGGCTCATCTCACAGAACTTTGCAAGTACGTGGACGACCACCAGGACCTGTATGTGCAGGTAAGATCACTCAGGAAAAACAATAAATTGCAGCTGTTTAATTATTGCGTTTTTTGTATGATTGTCACTTGATTTAATGGCTTATTGAGCTAACTGAAAACTGGACAGATTTGCAACTTATTCACTTAAACTTGGATTATAGTAGGTGCCAACTGTAAAACCAGTTTTCCTGATAAGATTCAGTAATACTGTAACTGCTGCTTGAATCAAATCTTTGTGGGTCTAATGTCCTAAGAGTCACTCACGTTGGCTCATTCTTTTGCAATCAGTAACTTCATGAAATAGTAAAAAAAAAAAAAAAAGGATTTTAATGTCTTTAAATCACTTATTTATAATTTACCTCAGCGCCTGGCTGAGTGGGTGGGTGTCCAGAGTGTGTCTGCTTGGCCTGAGAAGCGCGGGGAGATCAAAAAAATGATGGAGATGGCAGCCAAGGACATCGAGAGGCTGGGAGGGACTGTGGAGCTGGTGGACGTTGGCAAGCAGAAGGTCTTGCACTGGTTGCATTTCTTAATGCATTAATGATTTGTATTTTACATTATCTTTTTTAACTTAAATTTCACCATAAATCATTATTCATGCAGCTTCCCTCAGGAGAGGAGATCCCCCTGCCTCCTATCATTCTGGGGCAGTTAGGATCAGACCCAGCCAAGAAGACGGTGTGTATTTACGGGCACCTTGATGTTCAGCCAGCAAACATCAGTGACGGCTGGGACACAGAGCCTTTTACTCTGGTGGAGAAAGACGGTAAGAGGAGAATACCTTTGGCCTGCGTCCTGCACAAAACAACCCTGGAGCTGTTTCTGTATGAGCTCTAACATTGTCACAACCTGGCGAGGACTCAGTGTTTTAGTGGTCTTAACTGAGATTACTGAGAACCAAACCAATTAGCAGGTAGGTAATGCAAGATGAGGACATGTGGACTGAGGTGTGTAATTCCCATAAGGTAGCATAGCTAAGAGAAGGCATGCTGCCAGCAAGCTCAACTATGTAGACTGGGAACATTGGGTGAATGTATTTTTAACAGGTAAAGATAAGAAACACAAAACAAGTCACAGGTGCGTCTTGAGAGCTTGAAAAAAGAAGGCTGTATTTAGTTTGTAAAGATGTTTCACCTCTCATCCAAGAGGCTCCTTCAGTTCTAAAACAAATGGTTGTGTCTCAGGTATTTAACCCCTAATAGTTTTTCTCAGGTGGTCCCGAGGGTTGTTGATCATGCGAGTCATCACATTAGCCAGGGTGTGAAGAAAAAAAAGATGTCTTCACCATCATATGAGGTTAAAGTTGAGACCTTGCCCCACCACTTTAGGTTGTTTAGAGGTTGCCACCGTGAAAGACTATCGTTGAACGGAGGTGGTGAATTACAACGCCAGCTGTCAGCCACCTATAATGCAGACTTGAGATGCTATTTAGGCACTTCAGTCTCCACTCACACCTTGCCTCAGGTAACCTCAGCAGGTCACATGACAGAATGTCTCACTGCAACATGAATAAAATCAAATAACAATCAAATAAAATCAAACTCTAATTTTGGTGATTAGATTGGTTAAATTTATTTAAATGCTCTCAAAGCTTGCAGTAACAGGTAGCAGCATGTTTCCAAAGTCTTTTGATAGAACTGCATTCTTATCAACAGTCTTCTCAGGTTAAGTTGAACCAGTAAAGGTATTATTAGAATCTTTGGGAACACACTCGGATTGTGAAAAGGCAAAAAGGCTCAAGTGAGGCGTTTTCCTTTGTGAGTCATGACCGGTCCTTTATTTCACAGACTGCATTTGTTTGTGCACATAACTAAGTCACTGCAGCATTCCTGAATTGGTGTCTATGCTTTGTTATGCTCCACACAGTAATGCAAAAGCTGTGCCTGAATAATTTTAACCTAGTCATTTTTTTGCTACTCTTTAGGATCTTCTTTAAGTTGAATTATTGCTCTACATATTTGCATTTAGATGTTTTTGCTTCCCTAAAATTGTGGTTCCTTGGGGGAGTTTTTTTGAGCTACAAAATTCAATGCGCTGACTACGTAATAAACATAACCTTAGTATCATTTTTCAACTCCACTATCTTCTCATTAGAACCTTGAAACTGAAATAAAGTTTTCTTTTTGTAGGTAAGCTCTATGGACGAGGATCTACTGATGACAAGGGTCCAGTGTTGGCCTGGTTTAACTGCATTGAAGCGTATCAGAAGATCGGAAAGGTACAGTTACTGCCAGATTGAAGCTGGCCAACAAAAGGTGTTTCAAGTTTAGATAGTTTAAAGATGATATGATATTTTAGTGTGTCCTAAAAACAACCCTGAAGTGGCTTAACATGCTAAGTTGGCTGTGTTTGAACAGTGACAGGAGTAGGGGAGACCGGGGATAGTTGTAACATTTTTGACATTTCTGTCTGTAAATTGAAGCTCTTTTAAGGTAGTGGATTCAAAATGTAATGCAAAGTATTTACATGTCTCTGCTATTAAATAGTGCAGCTATTTTCTCTGCAGCACAATTACCCATTGCGTGGTATGGTCTCA